CACGTGCAAGCATGCAATATGTTCGCCGGGGGACCTCAGACGAAAGCCTTTTTATGAATAACTAAATGATTTATGAAGTACTCACTGAACGCACGCATTTTTCCTCGCGAGGAAAAATAAAATTGTCTATAAGTTGTGAATTTTTAATGAAGGTCTTGGAAGGGGATAAGCAGTGACATTTCAGAAGATGTCTCGTGTACGATCAGAGCAAAAATAGCGCATTATGTTTATAATTTGGGCAACGAGAACTGAAATAGATTCTATCCACACTGATACTGTCTGAATGATATCTTAAATATCTATAAATAAAATAATACAATTAGATTTCTATTGTGTCGTTACCATAAATAGATGAAAATGTGAGAGCAATACATTTATTCCGAATAACGAAGTATTCTCAGTGGATATTAACAAGAAAATCTGCCATTTTGGCGAAAAGCTCGCGAAATTTTAATGCTAAGGAGCGAGCCAATTTCTTATTCTAGAATACTTGTGTACTTGTGGGTGTAAGCGAACAAATTGCTTATTTTTTGCGAACATAGCAGCTGGAAAACAATTTCTTGGTCTCTCTTAACTTCGCGCGGAGTTTATGCGGGTTTTATGAAAATAGGTGGGCGCCCGCTCATTTTGGGTCGTGGGGGGTTGGTGTTGGGGGTGTTTATGTCGTTTTCATGGGCGAGGACCACCGCCGTTGGCTGCAGGCCAGACGCCGGGTCGGTAGTCTTTTGTTTTGCTCTATAACGGTATCTCGGTCCGTTTCTTCGGTTCTGATTATAATTCGAAGCCTAAATATGAAATGTTTTAGTCGGATGAAACGAATGTAAGTGTGTGGGGTTTTTTAACGCGATTTTTGTAGCCGGGTTGGTACTCTTGTCTTGGGTATTGAATAACATTAGTTAACACGAGTCTAGATAAGTATCTTTCTTGCTTGACTCGTCGTCCTAAAGTAGGTTCTTTAGTATAAAAAGTATCCGTTATTGAAAATCTAGGTTTCAAATAAGTGGTAGCTATTGGTGTACCTACCTAAATCTAAGTAATGTCTTGCGGTAGTTCAGCAATTAAACACTGTTATGTTAAATGGTATGAACTGAAATATTTAGTTTAGCTCCGCACCGATACACGGCTGATTGCTCCAGCGAACCGCGTGTTTGCGGTCGTTTTGTGGTACAAGTGTCATTGTCGAGACCTAAAACATTTTGGGATACCTGTTCTGTCTATTTCATTAGCATTTTATTAAAAAGCTAAGGGCCTGTATTCAATACTTGCTTACGATAAAGAAAGACCGAAGCTTATTAGAATCTTACCTGTCGGTTTTGATGTCACGCTTATATTTTTTTTCACAAGTCCCGAATATGGAACATAAAGTAACCCTAATTTTATTGTTAGCTCGCGTATAATTGAGACTTAGTTACTGATAAAACGGGCTCTGGTGACCAGTCAGTTTCATAGAAGGTTAAGGACTTATGATCACATGTTTGCATCTTCACAACTGTCAGTATTACGTAGTTTACAAGCAAATGAATGGCCTTAGCATGTGTATCTGTAAACTGCTTTCAGAATGTAAGCCACTTGACAGTGCACCGCGTGTTTGTGGCCACTCTTACACTATATCTAAAGCTACGCAGCTACGGCTAAATAATTTTAATTTGAAAAAAAAAAAAAAAAAAAAACCTACGCGATCATTAGGTAATTGGCACGTTCTCTTGTGGATAAAAAAATAACCTTGTTTTTACGGTTCAGACTACGATTTTGAGTCAAAGGACAATGGGCAAAATGGTACCCGGCTCCAATAGATATGCTTCTAGTATCGTTTGAAAGGTCTTACCAAGACGAACAACTTTTACTATGGCCACCAGCCTCAGATCTGGTTGTGTTCGAAGATAAACATACTTTTTTGCAAAATGGTTCCCGGCTCCAATAGTTATGTTTTTAGTGTCATTTGAAAGGTCTTACCAAGACGAACAACATTTACTATGGCCACCAGCTTCAGATCTGGTTGCGTTCGAAGAGAAACATATTTTTTGTGTAACCGAAGTAGGTATAATACGTGTCCATCGTATGGTACGTTTACGTTATGCGAGGCATCAAGGGTTTACTGCTCCAGCATGCTTCCTTAACTCTATAATAATAATTGATAGGGATAATTGTGGAATAAATGTTTTTATTTGAAGAACTACTACCCCTTTATTAATAAAAGGTTAACCTAGGATGAACATTTCCATACCAAATGACAATTTAAGCCAGAGTTCAACTAGGGTGTAACTTTTATTAATAAAGGGGTTGGAGTTTTATTACTTCTTAAGGGTTTTATTATGGGTTGCTAAAGCGAATAAATCCACAAGACCCAATAAGTCCACCCACAAGATGGACCGACGACCTCTTAAAAGTAGCGGGAAGGCGCTAGATGCAAGCCGCCACCAACCGGCCATTGCGGAAATCATTGGAAGAGGCCTATGTTCAACTGGACGTTCTATGGCTAAAATGATCATGATGATGATGATGATGAAAGGGAATAAAGGGCTAATAGCTTGGGTAGTTCATCGTAGGTATAATCCTTTCCTTTTCAATGCATCTTTTAGTTATATTAATAGATTGCAGTCATAATACATACTCGTATACATGGATGATTGTGTTATACTTTCATTATAATACTTAGTGGAATTACAGCTTTCAAAACGTGAATTAGAACTGGCCCCATAGCAGATATTTTATTTTTAACCTTTTGAAATATATATTGGTTATGGCTATTGGAGCGGGTACCACTTTCCATACATTGTTGCCCATCATCCTTTTTTAACCTCAGACTCTCAAAGCGAAGTCGTTACTTAAAAAGGCTTATAACACTAAAAGCTCGCGTCTGGAGTCGTCCAATAATTTGAGGCTACTGACCTTGCACTACTACAGATAAAGATCTAAAATGCATGTGTTTTGAATGACATTCACTTTGAGGCGTTCTAAAATAAACAGTCTTTCGGCAAATTCATAACAGGCCTCCTCTTTTACAATTACCGTGCTCTACTACAGGCCCCATAACCATCATGTTCTTTAGTTTTATCATGTTTTATGTTCATAGTGGAAGCAATAAATGATTGAGTATTGAAAGAATGCTTCTCGGATTATTAGGGTCTCCAATTTTATTTTAAAGGTGCAATTCCAAATTGCGATTCCCAACAAAAATGGTGTTTTGTTCAACCCTAAAATACTCACGGCAAGACATCTGGATCACGTTCCGGGATGATCACGGTGCGGAATGCGTTAAGAATTCAGCGCGGCCCGGAGGAGTTACCCCGGGAGGAGGTATGCCGTGAGGAGCTATTCTGTGAGGTTGATTTGTGGTGCGGCGTCAACGTGCCGCGTAGGCGCGAGTCACGTTGATTTGTTGAGAGTACAAATAAATTATGAGGTGATGACAAGTGACAGTCGGAAACAATCAGTACGCAGAAGCAGTGAAACGTTGAAATAAACTAGGTACAAATTTTGAGAGTAGGATACATAATAGTGTGATAAGAATTCCGTGAGGTTGATTTGTGGTGCGGCGTCAACGTGCCGCGTAGGCGCGAGTCACGTTGATTTGTTGAGAGTACAAATAAATTATGAGGTGATGACAAGTGACAGTCGGAAACAATCAGTACGCAGAAGCAGTGAAACGTTGAAATAAACTCTACAAATTTTGAGAGAAGGAGAAAATTAGGTGTGATAAGAATTCCGTGAGGTTGATTTGTGGAGAGCTGAAGTAAGTTATGAGCTGTACAAGTGAAGTCAAAAACGATCAGCACGAGGAAGTAGTGAAACGTTGAAATAAACTAGGTACAAATTTTGAGAGTAGGAGACATAATAGTGTGATAAGAATTCCGTGAGGTTGATTTGTGTTGCGGCGTCAACGTGCCGCGTAGGCGCGAGTCACGTTGATTTGTTGAGAGTACAAATAAATTATGAGGTGATGACAAGTGACAGTCGGAAACAATCAGTACGCAGAAGCAGTGAAACGTTGAAATAAACTCTACAAATTTTGAGAGAAGGAGAAAATTAGGTGTGATAAGAATTCCGTGAGGTTGATTTGTGGAGAGCTGAAGTAAGTTATGAGCTGTACAAGTGAAGTCAAAAACGATCAGCACGAGGAAGTAGTGTCACGTTGATTTCTTGAGAGAAGCAAAAATAACACGTTGATCGGACGACACGAAGAAGGTATCGAGGCTGCAGCGTGAACCATCGAGAGCAGCAAGACTCGAGCAGCGCCGCGCAGCCGCTACGCACGAGGCACAGCGAGCAGACCGCGATATCGATAGTGTAGACGAGGTGATCGTATCTGCTGCTCGTAAACTAGATAAGGCGTCATCGCCATAAACTTTTATTTTTCTTCTTTTCTTAAAATTTGGCAGCATGTACGAGCACACTCGACATTTTATATTTCGCCGACACCGCATTTTACCGTCAACGCTTAACTCAATTGTTATAATATTTTTCAGTGCAATAAACACGCTCATCGGTGAGGGACACTTTCATTTAACATTCCGCTCCCGAACAACTTATCCTATTTGTACTCAACTACTATATTGTAACTTAACTACATCAACATAATTACTACTTACCACCAAGTGTAAGGGAGCTATCCCCTACAATGTGATAACAAGTGACAGTCGGATAGCAGTACTTGTAGCAGTGCGATAGTAGAACCAACGTAATATCTAAATTATACCTAAATACTTGTACGGTTACTTGTAATAAAAATAGCAATTACATAATTAATTAATGCAAAATTACCAATAACATTTTAAGATGAAGAATATAAGAATAAAAATATAAATTACATTAAGCGCCACAATTGATTTGATAAATGAGACAATGCTAGACAATGCCTAAATTATAATTATATCGCATGGCATATAAACAGTAGCGATACTACACGTTTTGAATTAATATTAGATGTACCTACCTATAGACAGTACTCTAAATAAAATTTTAGTGAGAGAGTAGTTTTTAATGAAACTTTTGTTTTGCAGGAAAGTCGTTCACCCTAACGATAATGCTGGCCACGTCGCCCCCGCAAGTGGCGACGTACCAGAAAGCCATCAAGGTGACGGTGGACGGACCACGGGAGCCCCGCTCCAAGACCAGGCACCACGGCTTCCACCCGTTCCACTTCGGACCGCGTTTCGCACCGGACCCTTTGATGGGGTCGCTACCTTTTAAATTATCAGGTGAGTTAATAAATCAACCTAATAGCGAATTAGTGATAGCAAACGCGGAACCAAAAACTAAGTATTTCATATCATATGATGATGATGAAAAAAGTGATTTATTTAAAAATACTAAGGTTAAGAAATAAACTTGGAGGAGAAAGGAGATGAGTTTTATTCGTATCGGCGAGACAAAATGAAGCTCAAGATTAAGAAAGAAAATTGAAGCATTTTACATTATATTCAATAAGATGTTTTAATATGAAATTAGTGAGACACTTCATAATTTTTAGGTCACCCACCCTTATAAATAAGTACCTACATAATTTTAGATACGAGACCAGTTATGATGAATGCTTCTTAAGCTCTTTGAATTAGAATTTCCCAGGTTAGTTACATTTAACCATTCTACTCTCACACAGAGCCAAAACGTCTGAAATAGTCACAAAGTAGTCGCCAGCATTTAAATTCAGCACTGTAGCTAGAGTTGCGAGTTCCACAGAGTTGCCTTTTGTCTTCACCTTACACCTATCCTCCAACTTGGCAACTAAGTCGAGTGCCTAGTTAGGTAGGTTGAAGGTAGACACACTTGTTACTACCTGAAGTTTTTAATCGAGATTTTAACGCCCGTATTCACAAACATTACTATGAGGTCTCACAGTGCGCGTGGACGCACAGGGTCACACTTCACACACGAACCAATAACAGAGCTCTTTTCAACGTTGTGCGTTCGATTTGCTACTTCACTTAAGCAGGCATCGTTTGTCATACGGGCGTAAAGATGGTGTTAAGAAATATGTGATAATCCACCTCTGATGACAATGTATGTATTCGAGTTACAATGATTGGTGAAATTAATGAATTTAGAAGCACATACGAGCTATATCCTTTACGCAAGGGGCAGCACAGCCATACAGGGTGAAAGAAACTGTAGCCTCGTAAATACCATAACGCATATGGAATTACTCGTACTCGCACAAAAATCGAAAACAAATCACTAAGGTTCATTTAGATGGAAATGCTTATAGAAAAACGTCTCCTGTTCGAACTTCATCGTAGAAAGACTTTTTTACACACTACTCAGTATACTAAAAGTAACTCTATCTAATACCATAAACTAGGTCTTACCCCAGATACCAGCGCACCAGCACAAATACTTAACACTATTCTTGCCACTAGAGTCGCAAGTTGCATAAGAAGGAATGCTTTTGCCTCCCGTAACGTTATCCTCAAAGTTAGACTTCGAGCCGACATTTCTATCGTAATATTAAATTGTCAGCTAGACCGTTGTCACTCGGGTCAGAGCTTCAAAGGGATTTAATTTGGCCGAGAAGTTTTGCGAAACAATTAATTATCATTTGGGTTCTCTTTGACACCTGTAAGACGGGTTTGTTATGGCTAGTTGATATTTTGAAAATTCAAAATTGATATTAGGTTTATTTAGCTGAGGAAGACGGTGGGCGGAAGTTTGCATCGTGCGGTCCATACAGCTTATGACCGCAGTTTGTGGAGGAACACTATGTGATCGCGATCGTCGATCGATCTAAGCTTTTATTGTTTACTTTAGGTCGACTATATCAATAAATCAACCAGATTTTTTAAGGTTATAGCGAATAAAAGGATACCTCATTCCTTCATCTAAGACTTAGAGTTTACTGTACCCCTAACGACATCACACTTTACATCTCTTTATTACATATTATAAACAGTGGTTATTTCTCCACCACTGCCCCTCAATCTCAGGATGAACACAAAACGTTTCAAAATGATTGATTTCACCTGTATCAAGCTCATTTCCATCTATGTTTATCGATCTCTGAACGACACCACGTCGCACATTCTTTCGAACACAAAGGGCTAGTGACAATCGCCAGGCTCTCTAAAGCGTCGAAATATTTCGACGTCCAAGTTATTCGAGTCTAAAATTTTAATATGACGTAGGATACAGGGTGTGCAAAGTTGTACAGTGGACGTGGAGAACTTTCCCGAATATAAACATAATTTATAGACTTTTTTCTGGTTTGAAAGATGAATATTTACTATCCACTTACTTAAACGAACATTATATTGCTGTTGTGTGTGTACCTTATAGTACTTAGGTGAACATAAAAAATAATACAGCATTTAAAAAATATTTAAATAACATCGAAAAAAAATATTATTATTACATTTACACTAATTTAGCAATACTAATATTGTAGTAATACCCGAGCCAAATTATAAAAACTGAAAAATCAATTTTTAAGTCACAATATTTCAACTTATTTTCTGTTTGAAATACCTGTTTAAATTTCTTCCCAAACGCCCTGTATACCACCTGCCCCCAAGCCAATAAGGCTCCTTCCCCGCGGCGTCGCTAGGCATCGGGACCCTCACCTAATAAACACTCTGTAATGTAGTTGTTATGGTGCAGAGGTGTTGTATGGCTTTTTGATGTAACCTTCGATCTTGGAGTGGTACAAGGATAACGGTTTTTGGTTATTAATCTGACTTATTAGCATAATATTCTATGGTTTGGATATAGTGGTAGTACACATTATCAGATCAATACTATTACGCCCGTATTCCCAAACGATGCTTGCTTAAGTGAAGGCAAGTCGAACGCACAGCGTTGAATAGAGCTCAGTCATTGGTTCTTGTGTCACCATATGCGTCCACGCGCATTATGAGACCTCATAGTAATGTTTGTGAATACGGGCGTAAGTCTTGATCTGCTAATCACGGATGTTCAAAGAGTTACTTAAAAAATATTGATAATTGAATTACGTGAATTTCACGTAAGTATAGATATATTTTTTTATTCTGATAAATTAAGATTCTTTAAACTGAAGTACTGCTACAAATTATGAGTCAGCGTGCAGCTTACTTGAATAATTTTGCAGATTGTTTTACAGTATGTAAAGGCAACTATAATGTCTCGTTATAATATTTCTACAGAATTAGAAATGACAAGTTATTAGTGTTCAAACTTTCATCATTTTAATTCACCGATAAACATATAGTACTCGAGTATTGTGCTAGCTATAGTATAGCGAGGCGAGGAGCGTACGCAAGTGTAGCAAACCTCGTTACGGCGGGTGTCAAAGGGCTTTAACTCAATTACACACCTCGCGCTCTTGTAGCGTGAGACACGGGCGCGATACGACTACGAGGCTACTACGACGCGATTTGACGCGACTACGGTGCTACGAGAACACGTAGTAAGAAACTACGAGCTACGGCGTAGCATCAAGTCAAGTTCATTAGTGTTGTAATTACTTAATTATGTTAGGTATAACTTTTGTCATCGACATCATTGTCCTATAAGCCTAAGATGCGCGCAGTGATAACTTTTATCGACGTCAAAATATATGGGCAAAATCGATAAAACGGCGTGATAACTGCTTATCGCGGCACGCATTTTAGGCCTACTGAAGCAGTGGTAGAGTCTAAATAGGACGTGTAAAAGTGTCCATTTTACAAGAAGAATTGCAAAAGAACTATGACTTTATTCCATCAATAATGTTTGCTGCAAAATATTGTATTTATAAATAAACAAAGGTATATCTTAAGAAATATTATTAAATGGTTTTAACAAGGTCGTTTCTATTAGAAAATTTAGAACCTTACCAACGCGGAAGCAAGTTTACGAGTTACACCATTTGCACAATTTAGTGATTAACGCTCAAATAATTCCTTAAACTCGACGAAATTCGAAAATCTTCCCCAATAATACGGTTCAGCTAGTTGCGTATTCAATAACACTTTCCGCGAAACGTTACTTAGCTTCCATCGTGACACGCATTCGCGTTCTCATTGAAACAATTTGCTTACTACTTCAATATGTAAATTCCTGGCAGAGGAACCGACGCCTTTTCTGCCTCTTACAAGTACCAATAACCCTTCTGGAATCATGATAAATTATCCACACTCACGTTCGAACGCTCTCATAGGAACGCGGTGAGGAAAATAATGGATGTGGTATTTAGTTTTTATACTGAAAACGACCGAGGTATTTTTAGTTCACTGTGATTGGATGTTATTGTTTTTTTTTATCAAAACGTCGTGTTTCAATCACGATTTCAAGGTTCGATTGCGTGGGCACTAAATCTTTACAAACAGTTAAAACTTTTTTCAATAGTAGATAACTGAGATTTACAGAGGTCATTAGTGTTTTACTGTTTTAGAAAATGTTCATTGCATAAGTTACTATCGCTAATGAGAAAATAATATTTAATTTCGATTCGAGATCGCAATCGTTTACTACGTTTCACGTTAAAACGTTAGTAAGTAGAACGAAATCGAAATTAAATGTAAAGATAAACGCTGTCTAGAAACACTTTTCTTACCTAAGCTAGTGTAATTACAAATAAAGCAACTATCTATTACCTTAAAGTTGCAAATAGCACCTCCTAATCAAAGTTTCTCACGTATTTCTAAATCTATCCCAGTCTAGTTAGTCACTTGCGCTTCTCGCATCCGCGAGCGTCGTGTGAGCGCCACTTTAAGTCGCTACCTTCACATTATTAATGAGGGAGCCTTAGAGAAAATTAAATATAGCATTAGGCTCGGAAACCGGGGGTGGCAAGAAAGGGGTTAACCCTTCCACAGTCGGCGACAATGCGGGTGCATAATTACGCATTTGTAAATTTTAAATGTCCCACCCACCTCATACAGTCTTTTGTACGGCGTGATTCGCGCTTTTATGGCGCTAAACGGTCGCAAATGTGTACTGATGATGACGCGAGCTGTTAACTGTTAATGCGCTTTCATAAGTCTGCGATGGAGTTAAATTCACATTTGTTTTGATTGGTTGAGTGCTTACGTTTTGGTTATTGGACTGAATGGGAAAATTTTATTTGGTTACAGCTTTATTGCAGCTTTGTTTGCCAATAACAATATACCAATTCAGTCAAATCTTATTGCGGAAAATCCCAACTAATATTATAAATGCGAAAGTAACTCTGTCTGTCTGTCTGTCTGTCTGTCTGTCTGTCTGTCTGTCTGTCTGTCTGTCTGTTACGCTTTCCCGCTTAAACCTC